TAAATAAATAAACAAAAAAAAAAAAAAAAAAAAAAAAAAACTAGGAAATATTTAAAGAGAAAATAATATGTGATCATATTTAATGTGATAATTTTAAATTAATTTAAAATACTTAACTATTCAACTTGAATTTCAGTTTTGCTTTATTGACATTTTATTATGATTTCAATAAATTAATTTATTTGTCTATGCAGCTGGGACTATATATTTTAGGACTAACTTAAGAAATGTTTAATTTTTGAGTTGTAAAAGAAAATTGACGAAAATAATATGAATTGAATACTAATAGATCTAAAATTTCATTATAAAGGAAAACTGATAAATACCTTTTTATAGGACTTAATACTAACTTAATACTAAAAGCATTAAAATTTGCCTCTAAAATTTTATTCCTAATATGCATTTGCACACCCAAATGTAAAGATTTCATTTCAATAATATATTTCCTAAATTTTTTTGCGGTTTCAGAATACCGGCATGACTCCATTGATGTATGCCACAAAGGATAACAGGACGGCCATAATGGATCGCATGATTGAACTGGGCGCCGATGTGGGAGCACGGAATAACGTGAGTATCAAGTGTTGACTGCTTAAGCTTAAATTACCAAGATATGGCCATTCAGAAGCAAAAAAATGGGCAAAAAAAAAAATAAATAAATAAATAAAAAGAATGCAAAGCGAAAGCAAAACAAGCCGATTCTGGAATTGTGTCAAATCGATAAAAACCGCATAATTAAATCTCATGCGGGGGCGTAACTGCCAGAGGGGTTGCCCATGAGCCGAGGTGAACGCACAGAGGCGGACCAGGGGCTGCGGTCCACGCACCGGCCGCACACGCATTGCCGGCCAGAGCGCCGGCGGGCCGCTCAACTGCCACTTAGCCACATAAGCGTCGCTGTGGGTCAACCGAACTGAGCTTGGCCAACAATTGTTTCTAGCTCTGGCGACACGCACAGGCGCCGAGGACTACGGTCTCACGTGGGGCATCAGCGCAGCGAGGGGGCCATTGCGGCGATTCATACACTCTGATTTCTAATTCACTGACTTTATGCTGCATACTTTGAGGCGCCGCCACAAAAATTACGAATCTATTTTCAGCTTGAAACGATTGAGTGGAAAATTGACTATGACTATGATATGATACAGAATTATGATACAAATCTGTAATAAATAGAGTATTTATAATAGCTATAAATAATCTAGGCAGTCTGAGTGCCTTAGCGCTGTAAGACGCATTGAAGTATATATTAAAATGATACTAATTTATTTCCAGTTGATTAAGAAATGGTTTAAAATTGTCGTGAGGCTAAAAATGAAGATATAGAGAGTTACCAGCTTAATATAATACAATATTACTAAAACATTACCAATTCATAACATTTTCTATTAAATATTATAACTTAGTTCAGTGTTGTAAAACGCACAAAATATTACAACTGTGCCAATATATAGTAGTACCTTCTCCTATCTCTTATCTCCAGCAAAAACCCCAAATGGAGCTCTATATCAAAATATGAAGTGAGCAGCAATTGCTCTGTTTATTTGGCATTTGTACCATTTAACTGGCCAATTGGGCATTGGACATTGGGTTTTTGGCATTTGGCATTATGTTTGCATGCCGCAATTACTTTGGTCAATTGTTCATGGGGCACACACGTACCAGATTTTCGCCGCAGAGCCGATAAAAATCCTTGACCTAATTACGAAATAATTGTTGGCCAACCAGAGTCGCCGAATTAAATTACCAAAACAAACATAGAAAACTCGGATTTGGCTGCAGACTCACATAAAAAACCCACTTTGAAGAAGAAATTTCCCAGCTCGGCTTGTTAAGCTGGTGTGAAATGTTAAAGGTTAATTGCAGTTCTCTGAATAATAATATTACAACTGTGACCGAAAATGTACGAATAATATATACGAGTATATTATAGTTTCTAATATATGCAAATTTCTGTTTGCATATGTAAAATTGGATTGGACTTGTGAGCTAGAAATGAAATCTTAAGGCTTAGTGGGCCTATAGTATTGACTTATTTTTCTTTTTCGTT